TGCCAATAAAGGGCCGTATTATATGTAAATGCTTAATTCTGACTGCACAGCAAATGTGTTGTTTTAAGACAAGTTTCCCAATTGGTTGTTTGTCTAATGTTCAGTCCAAGACTCTGATCTCTCTCTCTCTTAGACAGTTGACATTCAATATTCCAGATGCTTGGAGAAACTTTATTCATTCATTCATTCATTCATTTCCCACCTTGATTATTTTTTGGCCCATTCTCTAGTTATACAAGAGATAAGGAGATAAGAGCTCCTAATATAATTTGTCAGTTGCCTTATCCTAGAGGACTTTATTTGAAACTAGCTGATAACCTGGCATTGCCCAGGTATTTATTTATCCCAATCCTGTATTAGACAGGAAGAGCAACTTCACCCTGAGCCCTGATTTCGGCTAGAATTAAATTAGTTAAAAATGTTTTCCCTGTGCCCCCAGAAGCCTCAAGTAAAATGATACCACCTTGTAGTTTTGCTAGCTGATATTGGTATTTGGTACACTTTTGTCCGCGATATATGCACTAAGCTGTTCGACGTTGTAGTTCTTTTCTCGTATGTACTCTGCGTGAAGTACATTGTGTTGGTCCCGTAGTGGTGCAGGCAGGCCGAGTTGCAGTAATGTTTAATGATCATGGCCAGAACATGGCCAGAACACATGCCCCGGGGGGTGTTAGGGGTGTCTTACCCCTCACAGTATCTTTTTCTAGAGAGTAAGTCATCTGTGTACTAAGTTTCATTGAAATTGCTGGAGGCATTCTAGACTTATGCTGGAACACACACACACACACACACACACACACACACACACACACACACACTTATATATAGATAGATAGATTCTGCATCTTCTAACCCAGAAAACTTGGGGACTCTGCCTGGTTCCAGAGGTTTAATTGTACACTAAGAATTTCTTTCATGTGGAAAAGGAAGGAGACACTCTGTGAGTTTTCTGGTTTCACGTATGAGGACATAGTAAAAAACATCTGGTCTTAAGCAGTTCTTAAAAATAGGTAAATACAACCTCAGATGGACAACAACACAGGACATATTACTGTTAAAAGCTGGATCTAGCCCAATAACTCAAAGACAGACTCCAATTCTTTTCTGTAGCTTTATTATAGAACTGATGGTACTGGAGGTCACTGACCTTGTACCTTTCTCTTTCAGGTATACATCTGGAATAATCTGTGGACCATGCGGTTGGACCTTTTGTACCCAGGAGGAGGGGCAAAGAGGTAAGGAGTGGTTACAGGGATTATGGGATATGTGGTCAGTTAACCCTTGCAGGTCCGGGTGATCAGGGAGATATAGTAGTTAGGCATTTATCATGACAATTACTCCAGGTCATCATTTATTTTACAGAAAGAGAGCCAAAATGGAGAAGCCAGGTGTGAAAGGCCAAGGACACCCTGGCTGCTTCTATAGGTGTGAAGAGACTAAGAGGTAGCCTGGTGCTGCTGATCAAGGGACTTGGATTAATTGGTCATCAGAAGTCTGACTGCCTCTATAAAAGCCGAAGTTTCAGGAGTTTGCTGGTCTCAGCATTGAGGTGTGTATTAACACAATGCCAAAGAGCAAAGACATCAGCAGTGATCTTAGAGACGCAGTTGTTGCTGCCTATCAATCTGGGAAGGGTTACAAGGCCATTTCCAAACAATTTAAAGTCCATCCTTCTATAGCAAAGTAGATTATTCAGAAGTGGAAAACATTCAAGGCAGGTGCCAATCTTCCCAGGAGGGACCATTCCAGCAAGTCCACCTAAGGTCAGACCATCTAAGGTCAGACCTCAGAGACATGGCAGAAACCCCAAGAGTTTCTGGGCCCTGCCAGTGCTGGACCTTCTCGGATGTGACACCCAACTGCAAGGCTACATCAGTGGTGAGCGAAGCCTGGATGATGCCACAGGACACCTCTCATCTTTCTGGTGCAGAGCTAGTTCACCCTCTGTGGTGCACCCTGGAGAAGCTCACAAGCACAAACTAAACATACTAGAACTCTTCAGCAGTGATAGAAATACTATGTACTAACATTGTAGTCTTCTGGCTAATTATACCTGTGCCACATGCTAAATAAATTAATAATTTAGCACTTTAGACGTGTACATGAGAATCCTTCCTTAGTCCTGGTAAGTCATTAATATCTAGACTGAATAACAAGGGTTCAAATATGCACCCTTCTCTGTTACCCCTTGGTAAGTATCGATCCTTCTTCTTGTGGCTCCATTGAGTCCAAACCTCCTTCTCAAACAATGGCTTGGATCAGGGCCAACAGGCAGAGCTCTATTTTGAGGGCAATCAATTTCCTCCATCATATTTCTCCATTAACTGTGTCAAATGATGCACTTACATCTATGCAACCAGCAAACCGTGGTTTACCAAACTGACATATTATATAATTAGATATTTCAAAACAAATCTGCTGTCAATATTAGATTATTAATTTATTGATTAATTATACAACTTTATGAAACTTTTCCTTTACTTTTTCCTCTTCCTTTTTGTTCTTCTGCAAGGAACACACTTTTGTTCTATCCAATCTCAAGTTTACTTAAGAGGAACATGGCATATATTTTAGCCACAATACCTACTAGACTAACTGGCCTATAATTGCCTTTTTATTCCATTTTTTAATATATATAGACACTACTATTGCCAACTTGAATCCAACTGGATATGGCAGGTACTATTTCTATGTGAAAATGAATATGCCAATTAGTTCACCCACAACTAAGGATATTTTTTGAATAGTTGAATTGCCGGGAGAAAGTCCTCTCTAGGGAACTTATTGTTTTTCTGGCTTTTATAAGGAATTTGAACAAGAACATAAGAGAAAAAAAACATACCTGACATATTTGCTAATATGGAGCAAAACAACTCTTGAATTCTATGCAGAAGATACAGTATGGTTGCATCTGTTGCTCACCCACCAACACCCACCACTCAATTTACCAGATAGAGAAAAACGCACACAAACCTGTGGGACTTTGTAAGGTGCTGCTAATGTTGAAGCCTGGGTGGAGATTTCTCTTTTACCTGCATCAAGAAGAGCCAGAAAGTTCTCCTTCCTTCCACAGCCGTAGTTGGGGACATTGGCTTCTCCAGTGGAAAGAATTTCCAACAAGGCATCTGAAGTGCGTAAAGGGCTCATATAGTTGTCATGGATGTTGTAGCCCAGTGTGAGGTTGTGCAGGAGCTGGGGATTCTTGTTGACCATTTGAATGGCGAAAATTAATTGTAGGGTGTAAAAAAAATCAAAAGAAACCTTACTGTAAAAAAAAAAAATCTTCATGTTATTATCATCAACAGTAACAACAAACTTTTAAAAATAATTTATTCCTTTTTTTCTCCACAAGCCTTCTGAGTCTTAAGCCATCATTGATCCAAAAACCAATAATCGGTTATACAAATATGGGAATGGGCTGGGCAGAGGGAACTAAAACTGTTTCAATCACTCCTTTAATCAAAATGAATTCAATGATGAATTCAGGAGTGAACGGGGGGAGGAAAATAATCTGGATTTCCTTCAGTTTTTATAACCCCATCTTTGGATCTGAGTCTCTTCTACAAAATAAGAAAAAAGAGGCAAGTTATGGAAATCAAAATCATTCAGGAAATTAGACAAGTTCTTGCACTACAAAAGTAAGTGAAATAAGAAGAAAAGAAGGAGTGTTAGAACTGCAATTGGAGGGGATGCAACTCCATCCCCCTGAATGACTTACGAATGAGAAGGTAAAGAAGGAGCACCGTTGAAAGTCAACATTATAGGCGATATTATTGTTTCAGTTGTGAATATCGCAGTGAAATGGTCTCCTGGCCTGTAATAGCTCCAGGGTTGTTTTTCATCCTGGTGCTCCAAACTCAGCAGGCATTTCCTTCCAAGCTTCCCAGAGACTGGCATGGACATCAGCAGCATCAGAAGCCGAAGCAGGAGGTCCATAATTCATGGAGTTTTATTAATCCTCTTCTTGTTTCTAACACCAACAGCAGGAACAGTTGGAAGAATTCAAAGCACCCTCACAAGATGGAAATGCCAGTCACTTTCCTGATATAAACGGAGAAACACTTAGCTTCATCTGGAAAGGAGAGAAGAGGTACAATCAAGAGCACATATCCTGCCTGTCCCAAAACTTGTTTCCACAGAGCTTGACCTACAGAATTTATCCTTTTCTGATACAAGATCCTTTGCTTATGGCTTCAATCTGATGTCTCTATCACAGATATGGAGATCTCCAAGGCTCAGATAATTATTATTAATTACAATGAGAAGCAACATCTCCTCTTGGGATCCTGAACTACTTCTGTGCAGAGGAGAGGTTGGAGAAAAGCTTGTTTGTGAAAAGCCACAACTACACACCTGGGGTCAATTTCTGTAGTGGTTGTGGTCTTTCCTGTCAGAACATGTCCAAAAAGTGATGCTAGAAGATCCTTCAACACCAGGGAATTGGCTTCTGCTGTCCTTCAACCGGGTCTCTCCTCTCCAGAGTCTGTTGGAGAAGGTCACCTAGAAGTATGGTGACCCTTAACTTTCATGCTGCCTGTCTTCTAATGCTAAGGAAGCAATCAGTCCCCTTGGATTCTGCCTACTGTTAAGAGTGGGGCCTGTTTGGGATTTTCTTTTATATCAGAACTTCATATATGAATCCTAAATTGGAGCTGATTTTAAAAAGTGGGACACTTTTGACATTCCCATCTCTGAGGCTGTGGAGTGAACCTCTTCCCTAAAAAAACCTCTGAGTGCTTTGAAGCTGCTCTTGGGGCACCTGAGTCCCTGGTTCATTTGGATCCATTGTTCACATATTGTATCTCTTCTCTGGATGAGGAACACTGATATGTCCACCTTTGCTTAGAAGAGAGAATTGGGGGAGAGGGCTCAGTGGGAAGGGATATGAAGTAATAGCTGGTCCCTCCTTAGGGGGAGGAGCAGAGGATGGCCCATATCCCAGGTTCTCCTCTCAGGGCCTGGCTATGAGGTCCTGGGTGGCTCTGGGTTCAAGCTGTTACTTTTGAAGGCCAGGCTGATGCCTCAAAGGGGCTCCTCTCTTCCATGAGGGTCTCTGCCATGTCTCCCTGGAGCCTGGAGGGGCCCAGAGGGGAGGAAGCCCCTTTTCAGTCAGAAATGAGCCCCCTTGATTTCTGGGTCCCCCCAGGAGAGACCCCAAAGGAGAGGGGGAGGGGCAGCTGGGGTCCTTATAGGCTCTGAAGAGGCTGCAGCTGAACCTGATTTCCTCCCAGGGAGGCCGTGGGGAACTTTCCCCACACTGGGCGGAGAATCTCATGTGAAAAGGAGCCTCGCAGGAAGAAAAGCTTTTCTTCAGTTCTAATCGATGGTCCAACCTCCCCCCCCCAAATTAAGAGACTTTGGGGTTCCCAAAGTGTTTCATGGGCTGATCGGCCATCAGGTCCCCCCTGAGGAGAGAAGCCAGGATGGAGGGTCTGAGGGGGGAATGGAGGCCTGGCTGGAGCCTCTGGGCAAAGCAGGCAGTTTGTTCCTCCTCAGCTGACTCTCTGCCCCAGAGAGCTCCCCTTGCTCTGCCTCTGGTCTCCAGGAATGGAATTAAAAGAATGTGGTGGATTTATATCCTCTTCTGATGGATAAGAAAAAGAAATATTTTTATATATGTTAAAAAAGAGGGGAAAATCCTTGATTCCCTGGTTGCCCTCCAGTGTTCCATATCCCACTCCTGCCCCCGTGAAATCAGGGAAAAGTTGACCTGGGGTTTGTGTTAAGTTGGGTGAATGAGAGGCGGAAGCAAGATCTTCAGTAACAACAGCTCTTTAATTCACAGTGTGAATCCAGCAAAGCATCCAGTAAAACAGCTCCCTTTATATACTTCTCCGGCCAGGGAGTTAGCCAATCACCAATGTGTTATTGTTCTTTTAAAACTTCCCGCCAAAACTATATACATTACACTTCTCCCTTCCCAGAGAACACTTAGGCTCGATATTTACATTTTTACATACAAAATCACACAGGTGACTAGGGTGTTCCCTACGCCTAGTTGACCTGTGCAGTTCAGTCTGTAAGGATCGCCTCTCCTTCCAACTTAAGAAAGTACGAACTCTTGAAACGTAGTTGTTCAAAAGGATTCTTTTATTAAGCAGAAGTGAAAACCATCCAGCTAAAGCACAATCTGAATGCCCTTAGGCAAAGCAGTAGGATTAAAGTGGTAGGTCAGAATGCAGATTTCAGCCAATACACAAGTGAGAAGATGTTTTCTTTACTATTTCCTTTGAGAACCCGAACACACATGCATTCCCACCACTTCCCTTTAAAGTGAGACAACCCACATGGCTATCATATAAATTCCTGCAGGTAAAAGGAATCTCAGGCTTGCTTGGCGCCAGGATATAGGTTGTAAAATATCTGATGACACAGGCCATGCTAGTAAATCGAATCCACGTCCCCCCTTCCTTCACTTGAATGGCAGTATCACTTTTAGGGATCTGACATGCTACCCTCCTTAGAAAACAAAAGGGTCCACCTGTAAAAAAACAAAAACAAATATACACAGGATTTCATGATAGTAGATCAACAAGGTTTGTTAGGGTATTGGGAGTGAAATTTTCTCAGTAAGATTGGAGCCCTAACGTGGTGTTTGGCAACCCATTCATTGTGTGCTGATGGTAAATGTTTCCAAGCAACTAAGTATTGGACTTTCCCTCTGTGGATCCTAGAATCAAGGATTTCCTTGATTTCAAAGTGTTGTTCACCTTCAATCATGATGGGAACAGGTGGTGTAGATGCAGGTGGTCTGAGGGATGAGATTACTTCTCGTTTGAGTAAACTGATATGGAATACTGGGTGGATCTGCCTGAGTGTCTTTGGGAGGAGTAGTTCAACTGCTACTGGATTGATGATTCTAGTGATGGGGAAAGGTCCAACGAACTTTGGCCCTAGTTTCTTTGATGGTTGTAATGATTTCAAGAATTTTGTAGATAAGTATATTCTGTCTCCAATATGAAAAGGTTTGGGTTCCATCCTTTTCTTGTCAGCTTGAATCTTAAAAGCTTCTCTAGCTTCCTGTAAGGCTAATCTAACCACTGGCCACGTGTTTTGCAAATTATCCATCCACTCCTTAAGTGAGGGGATGGTGGGTTCTTCTGTGGGTAGTTCAGGCATGGGGCTGAAATCCTGGCCTGTTGCTACTCTAAAAGGGGTAAAACCAGTGCTTGAATGTACAGCATTATTAAACGCAACTTCAGCAAAAGGCAAAAGTTCGGTCCAGTTATCCTGTTGAAAATTAATGAAACATCTTAAATATTGTTCTAGTACCAAGTTCAAAATTTCAGAATTGCCATTAGTACACGGATGAAAAGATGTGCTCAACCCCTGGCCAGTACCAAGTAAGCCCAAAAACGCCCTCCAAAAGTTGGAGGTGAATTGAGCCCCTCTGTCGGAGATGATCCTTTGTGGAGCCCCATGAAGTCGATAAATGTGTATTAGGAATAATTTGGCTAAACTTTTAGCAGTTGGGATCTTTTGGCAGGGTATAAAATGTGCCTGTTTTGAAAATAGGTCTGTCACAACCCAAATAACAGTATTTCCCTCACTGTTTGGCAATTCCACAATGAAATCCATAGCAATCTCTCTCCAAGGCGCTGAAGGTTCAGCTACCTTCTGCAATAGACCTGGGGATTTCCCCTGGCGTCTTTTTGCTGCTGCACAAATGGGGCAGCTAGCTACATAGCTTTCTATGTCCTTTTTTAGTGATGGCCACCAAAATTGTCTTTTAATCAGGTGTAAAGTTTTCACAAACCCAAAATGTCCAGCTAATTTGGAGTCATGGCACCGTACCATTAAGCATAGTCTTTGGCTTGCAGGAACATACAACTTCCTCCCCACCCAAGCCAAATCTTCTTTCATCAGACAGCTGGATTTGTTGTTCAAAAACCATTCATCAGTGGCCAATGCTTATTTAAAATTTTGGGTGGTGTCATTGTCTGTCACTGTTTCTTGTTTTTCCTGGGATCTGGTGACTACTTTAGCGGCTAGTTGACTGTTTTGTACTATAGGTTTGATTACGTCTGACCTTGCACGAATGTATTGCGGTTTTCTGGATAGCGCATCCGCCAGGAAGTTTTCCCCCCCTGGGAGGTATTTTAGAGTAAAATCAAACCGTTTAAAGTACTGAGCCCATCGTACTTGTTTTGGGGAGAGTTTCCTTGGGGTCTTTAGGGCTTCTAGATTTTTATGATCAGTCCAGACTTCAAAAGGTGTCTTACTGCCTTCTAGGAAGTGCCGCCAGGTTAACAATGCCCAACGAACTGCATACGCCTCTTTCTCCCAAATAGCCCACCTTTGCTCAGTCTCATTCAACTTTTTGGATGTGTAAGCGCAGGGTTGTAGTTGGTCTTGCTCATTCTTCTGAAGCAGGACCGCTCCTATTGCCACATCGCTGGCATCTGCTTGTATGACAAATGGTTTCTCCGTGTCCGGGTGTTGTAGAATTGGTTCTGCCGAGAACAGCTGTTTAAGTTTTTCAAATGCCGCCTGGCATTCCATAGTCCAGTTCAATGGTTGCTTTGGTTTAGGGTTGTCCTCCCCCTTTGTTTTTAAGAGCTTGGTGATGGGGAGGGCAATCTGAGCGAATGCAGGGATAAACTGGCGGTAAAAGTTGGCAAACCCCAGGAAGCTCTGTAACTGTTTACATGTGCGTGGAGGGTCCCAATCAAGTACAGCCTGCACTTTTAGAGGATCCATCTCAACCCCCTGGTGTGAAATGCGGTATCCCAAATAGTCAATCTTCTCTTGATGGAATTCACATTTGGAAAGTTTGGCATAAAGTTTGGCAGCACGGAGTTTGTTTAAAACTGCCCTGACTAGTTTTACATGTTCTGCTTTGGTCTCGGTATAGATTAAAATGTCGTCCAAATAGACCAGAACCCCCTTATATAAATGCTGATGCAGCACTTCATTTATTAACTGCATAAACACTGCAGGAGCTCCTTGTAACCCAAAGGGGAGCACCTTGAATTGGTAGCAGCCGAGGGGGGTGTTAAATGCCATTTTCCACTCATCCCCTTCCTTAATTCTGACCCGGTAGTAAGCCTCCCTTAAGTCCAGCTTTGAAAAAATTTTCCCTTTAGCGAGGTGTGCTAACATATCTTTCATAAGGGGGAGAGGATACACGTTCTGCACACTGATAGTATTAATGTTCTGGTAGTCAACGCATAAGCGTTTTGAACCATCTTTTTTCTCTCTAAACAACACTGGGGCTGCAATTTTTGGTCGGGCTGGCTCGATGAAACCCTTGCTAGGTTTTTCTCAATGAATGTTCTCAGATCTTCCAACTCCCTCGGTGACATGCTGTACATCTTGGGTTTAGGGAGTTTCGCGCCGGGTAAGATTTCTATTGCACAGTCAGTGGTGCGGTGGGGGGGGGAGCTCATTTATTTATTTATTTATTTATTTTATTGAATTTCTATACCGCCCTACTCCCGAAGGACTCAGGGCGGTGCACAGCCATAAAATAAAACACATAGATATACAAAATTTAAAATCGAATAAAATGAATTAAATAAAATTGGCTGAATTAGTACCCATAATTTAAGATACCCATTTTTTAAAATACATTAAGAATTTAAAAATTTAAAATTTACACTTAAAAGGGAGAAGATTTAGGCGAGGCCAGATTGATGAAATAAAAACGTCTTCAACTCGCGGCGGAAGGTGCGCAGATCCGGAATCCTCCGTATCTCTGGGGGGAGCTCATTGCAGATCGTTGGTGCCCCCACAGAGAAGGCTCTCCCTTTAGGGGCCAACAGCCGACATTGTTTGGCCGACGGCACCTGGAGGAGCCCCTCTCTGTGGGAGCGTACTGGTCGGTGGGAGGCTGTTAATGGTAGTAGGCGGTCCCGTAAGTAACCAGGTCCTAAGCCATGGAGCGCTTTAAAGGTGGTAACCAGAACCTTGAAGCGCACCCGGAAGACCACCGGGAGCCAGTGCAGCTCGCGCAGGAGAGGTGTTACATGGGAGCTCCATGTTGCTCCCATAACCACCCGCGCAGCCGCACTCTACGCCAGTTGGAGCCTCCGGGTGCACCTCAAGGGGAGCCCCATGT